ATTGGTGTCATTCATGTTTTGAATACCACAGCTGCCTCACTTAAGGCTGCAATTGATCAATTATTCTCAACGCATAGCTTAAGTATATCTAATTTGAGAGGCCAAGGATATGATGGAGCTAGTAACATGCGGGGTGAGTATAATGGCCTCAAAGCACTTATTTTGAAAGAAAATCCAAGTGCTTACTACATTCATTGCTTTGCTCATCAACTTCAACTAGCTCTTGTAGCTGTGGCACAGAAACATCCGAAGATTGAAACTTTCTTCACTACAGTACATAGATTGGTGAATATTGTTGGAGGATCAGCTAAATGGAGTGATCTTATTCGAGAGAACCAAAGATTGAAAATTCTTGAATCACTCAGTGTTGGTGAAATATCAAGCGGACGGGGTCTCAATCAAGAAATTACTCTTCAGCGTCCTGGTGATACACGTTGGGGCTCTCACTATAGTTGTTTAATTAACTTGATTGCCATGTTTTCAACTATAGTCGACGTCATTGAGATGATTGCTACTGATACTACAAGTACCGAAACAAGAGGTGATGCATGCATTTCATTGGAGTTGATGTTAAGATTTGAATTTGCATTTAATCTATATCTCATGAAAAAGATTTTAGGGATTTCAAACGAATTGTCAAGAACATTACAAACAAAAGATCAAGATATTGTCAATGCTATGAAATTAGTGCAAATATGTAAAACACAGCTCCAAACCATGAGAGATGATGGATGGGATTCTTTTTTGGGAGTGATTTGTTCATTTGGTGAAACTCACATGATCAATGTTCCCGATATGGATGATATGTTCGTAACTGTTGGTTGTTCACGGCGTGAGACAGTGACAAATTTGCATCATTTTCGTGTGGAAATGTTTTATGCCGTCATTGATATGCAACTTCAAGAGTTGAATGATCATTTTTCTGAAGTAAATAGTGACTTGCTTATTTATGTTGCATGTTTATCTCCAAGTAATTCATTTGCTGATTTTGACAAGATCAAATTGATTCGACTATGTCAGTATTATCCGGTAGATTTTGATGCAGCAAATATCCTAGAACTTGATGATCAACTAGATACGATTATTCTTGATATGCGCACTTCTGAAGACTTTGAAGAATTACAAGGCATTAGCAATCTTGCACAGAAGTTGATTGTGAAAAATAAACATGAAGTGTATCCATTAGCCTACAAACTTGTGACACTAACCTTAGTTCTTCCCGTGGCTACTGCTATAGTCGAGAGAGCATTTTCTGCGATGACTTACGTCAAAAATCGTTTGCGCAATCGAATCGGAGATCAATGGTTGAATGATAGTTTGATTGCATACATTGAGAAAGATGTTTTTGATAAGATTGAAAATGATGTAATTATGGAACATTATCAAAGTATGAGAATACGTAGAGAGCAATTGTAATAAGATATATCTTATTTTAATTTTCCATCACTTTTTTAAAAGTTCGTTACTGACCCCCCAGTCTAAAATGTCTGCGTCCACCCCTGTATATATATATATATATATATTAATACAATTAGTTTCAACGAACTTTTTACTCATTCTTTTCTAAAAATTACAATATTTAGCATCTCTTATGCAGTAACCACACAAACTAAGTGTTTATTTTAGAAGATTTATTTTTACTCAAAACCAGATATTCACCTATTAAGAAGGCACCTATAAACAAAGGCAGCCTTGCGAGTGCGAGAGTTGAGCGATCACACAAGGCCTAAAAATTGTAGGGGCACCAAAAAAAAATTTTGTTATAGTCGTATATTTATTTATAATTAAATATTTAAAATATATATTAATTTTAAAATAATGTGACTAACTAATTATAATTTCCTTGAATATAATATTTTTAAATAGTATTCCTACCTTAATAATGTGAGGGAAAAGAAAATTTGTCGAAAAAAGATCAAGCCGACCGGAAAAGTCAAATAAGAAAATCTGAATTACGTGTTATCTTTTCTTTATTATCTTTTCGTCAATCTCATTCCGTGATTTCACTAATTTGAATTTCGCTTTGCAACTTAAATGTATAATTCGTAGGAAGAAACATTTTGATGAAAATGTTACCGTAGACGATGCACAATCACCTGAAGATTCTTTGAGAACCAATTGTTTCTTTTATATTGTAGATCAAACAATTGGACCACTTGAACAATTTGATCAATTCAATTCATATGAAAAAAATTTGGATTTCTGTTTTCTTCTGACAAGTTAAACTCATTGGATGATGCTAATTTGAAAGCATGTTGTGATCATCTTGATATTGTTGAAGACATGTAAATTTTTGCGATCTTGATGGCGAAGATTTATTTCAAGAGTTAAAAGTTTTCCGAAATCTTTTACCAAAAAAGATAAAGACCACTTTTGATTATTGACTTATTTGAAAAGATTGGATTGCTTTCCAAATTATTGTTGCATTTGCTAAAAGAAGTTTTTTAAAATTGAAGTTATTAAAATGGGTAATTGGCACAAAATGTCCTTACCTTTCA